TGGCTGATGCCCAATGCAACAGTTGCCTAAGTACAGCTTATGTGGAGGAAAGCAGACAACTAGAAGGCTTTAAAAGCATTAACATTATCATCAAAACAGCAGCAGTTGCTAAGTAAGTCACTCAAAGCATCCATTGTTCATTCTCTCTAATGTATACAATGCATTTGCTGGGTCATTTGAGCTGCAGGAGGTATAAAGCTCCTAGTGGAAATAATCAAATTCTCACTGTCTCCTTTTAGAACACACAATAAAGTACTAGCTTTTGAAAAAGAAATTCTAGTGCAATCAGAAACAACACTTTTCCATTATATCACAAGCAAAATTGGGAGACACTGAGAGGGGTTAGGAGACTACACAAGAAACAGACAGGTAAGGAGACTCATAGCACAAATCTATCTGGCATAACTATTGATAAGCAGTGGAATTTTTTTTTAAGTTTTTCAGTTTTTTGCAGAAAATTGTCACACCTACATCACTAATAATGCAGATAGTTAGCATATGGTAATGTGCATTAAAACACTAAACTAAAACTAATTGATGTAAAATACTATATGCAATTTTGCATAGGGAATTTTCCCAGAACGTTTTTTGGTTCAAAATAGATCCCTGGACATTCAATCTGAGGATTCAGTTTGAATGTGATTCAACTGAATCTCCAAATTGATTTAGTTGCTACTGGATTTTCTGAATTGATTCAGAAATTTCAACAATTTTGTCCACTGAAGAAAAAAATATCTCAAACCATGGTGTTCACTATATCCGTGGTATTCAAACTGGGTTCCCCAGAATCCTAGGGCCTCAATGTGATAGTTTTTGTTTACATTGTGTGAAATGTATTATTACAACATTTTGTTCAAATAAAATAAATTATATAAAACTTATTTATTAAAGGGTTCCACACCAATTTTTCACATTGAGAAGGGTTCCTTAGTATCTCAATTTTGAAGACCCCTGTAATGCAATTAATCCTGAACTTACGATGACAAGATGGGACCAGGACTGCCATCATTAAGTGACATGCTCATAAAATGCAACATCATGTGACTGTATCATTTAGCGACAGAAATCCAGACAACCCTGGTTGTTATCATAACCCCAAGACATGCAGGTTATTAAGCAGAAAGGAAAGGAAGTTCCAGGTAAGGAGTATGGGTGGGTTGGGGGGGGGGCTGGCACAGGCCACATCTCAGTTGGGTGTATGGGGGGGTGTTGTAATATGGTGTGGACTCAGGAAGGCCAGGGAAAGAGGGTGAAAAGTGTGTGCGTGCATGTATGAAAACACAGGGAAGTCAGAGAAAGAAGGAGCAGGATGCACGCATGTGCACAATGAGGGACAATGAGGAAAGCAGTTATGAGGCGGAATGGGACAACTCGTCGCAGCCAAATCACCACAGCCAATTCGCCACAGCCAAATCACCACTGCGGGACAATTCAACAATTCAGTTTAATTATTTAAAATAATTTTTAAAATATTATAACTCTTGTCATTCACATTTCATTTTGTCCTTCCTTTAGCATCCTTTCTTTAATTATTCTATTCCACTAATTCTTCGATATTAGTGTAATTCTTGTCCCGTGGCAAGTTGTCCCACAGCGAGTTGGCCATAGTGAGTTATCCCGTTGTGGTGAGTTGGCTATGGTGAGTTGTCACAGACCTGTTATGAGGTGCATGCATGCCTATGTAGATGTGCACGGAGGCTGAGGGAAAGGGGCATTAGGTGGGTGCATGCAAGCACAGAGAGGTCAGAGAAAGAGGGCAAGTAAAAGGGTTAAGGAATCATGATGCATGTGAGTAAAGAAAGGCTGAGGGAGGAGAGACTTAACCAAACAACTTGGCACCTTCCCAGCTGGCTTCCCCATTGACTTTTACTTGAGTGAAGCCAGCAGAGAAAGTGAGCAATGGAGACCACGTTACCATAGGATGCTGCAATCAACCATAAGTACAAGTTTGTTATCAATTCCTGGAATTTGTTAACCTGCAAATAGCACTACAATAGCTGGAATTTTGAGGACCGGTTGTCAAGCACCATTGTAACTTAAAACTATCTCTAGGCTGTTTAGACATCATAGTATCTTTCAGTTATCTAACCAAAATATGAAGTTGACTTGTCTTTCAGAACTATAGTCATGATACATAAGTGAAATGTTTCAAACACTCCTAAGTGCTACCTAATTATAATTAAATATAATTGTATGTTCAATACAGTAAAATACATCACACCAGCTTATTTGATGGAACTTCATGTTTTTGGATGAGAAAAGTAGGAAATTAGAAGGTTTAAGGCTGGTGGATGTATGTTACTTCAGTCCTTAAAAAACTAAGATCATCATAGGACAGGATTATAAAACAGGAGAAGCTACATGAAAAAATTTGGACCAAAAATTAAATATTCAACACTCAACTCGCTGTTACAACATTGAAGCCAGGTTATGGGATACAGCTCCACCCTGGATATGTTAGTTAATAATATCAAGCAACCTGAAGAATAATGGAAGACAGAAGCATCTACTGCAGGAATAATACATTAAATGAAGAACTAAGAGGAGAGAGGCAATTGCAGAAATAGAGAATATCTACATGAATAAGGAAAGAATTAAGCCAAATACAAGAAAGAATTTTAGAAGCTTCCGTAGCAAAGGAAAGCTACATCCTTCCTAGATTAACCCTCTTGAACATGACAATAATTCTACATAAACACGAATAAGGGATGCTTGGTGGTCTCTGAGCTTGCTTGTTTTCTTGCAGACGTTTCATTACCCTAACTAGGTAACATCATCAGTGCTAGTAAGGAGTGAATATGAATAAGATTATAACTATTTTTGAGATTTAAGTGTAATGGAGACCTTGTGCTCACTTGCCATTTTATATAAGCCTAGTTTATATTATGTAGCTACCCAGTTGTTATCCATGACAGGTTTTTGCTTTACTTCTAAATAAATATGTTTCAGTGAAAGAGATTTTAAAAACAACTAATCAGAGAAAAGAGTCATTAAAGTTAGCAATACAAAACAACATTACAACAAACATTTTTTTAAAAGGAGCACGTTAATCCCAAATGAAATATCATTCAGTCTAAGTAACTTCTAAAATATAAACTATACCCAATCAGGCAAAGTACAAAGCCAGTGTTGTCAGAATATCAGATCAGAACTGGTGATTCAGAACTTAAACAAAACATGTAGCAATAGGAACAGCAATGAAAAATTAAATTAAATTAATGGGTACAAGACCAATGGGACCAGTGGTATATTACACCACTACTGATTGTTAACACAGATAATCATTAACTAAACATTGTTAGCTGGGAAATTGAATTTGGGTTGGAAAGATTTTATGCTTCCGAGCTTATCCTGGGACACGTATATTTGCCTTCATTCATTGTTAGCTGGGTTTTGTTTTGTTTTTGTTTTGCATATTTGATGGCCCACAATTCTGGAAAATGATTTACAGCAAAATGAAACAAATTCTAAAGGTTAATTCTCTTTCCAGCCTGTTATTTTCCTATTAATGATTATTAAACCACAGATTTCCCAAAGGGATAACAGACTGGCTTTGCATATGATTATACCTGCTTGGATAGTCTATGTTTCCTATTAAGGAATTCAATTGTAGGAATATGCCTCAATTCAAAAATAATATTGGGTTTGAAAAATAAATCTAATACAAATTCAATTCTACATGGAGCTATGAAAATTCACTAAGTGATGTGAGACAGTTATGATGGCATAAACTCCCTGTAAAATATATCCCATCAAGTTCTTTGGATGAAAGAGGGGAAAAAGAGAGAGATGAAATGAAATGGAATGGAATGGGATGTATAATATTAGAAAAATAAACAAGCAGAAGAAAGCATATGTTTTCTTCTGCTTGTTTATTTTTCTAATATTATATATTATTATATTATATAAATCAATCATTATGTCTCTACAATTACTTTATATAGGGAAGAAACAGAATATTTATGTAAAAGGTGGAAATAGAAATGCTTTAGCTAATTTGATCCCAAATTAGGATTAATTCTTCCGTTTCAGAGAAACAGACTGGCATTTATCAAAAAATAAATTTAAAAGTTGCCTTTTAATGCATCTACTTCTACATGAGATATAATTAAATGCTTACAAGGTATACATAGTGTTGCTTAAATAATTTCTCCTGACGAATAAATATTTATTACTTTAGTTTCTTTGGAGTGTTAAACAGCTATAGATATTATACAGGTAAAATGGGCCAGTGTAAATGTTTCTATATTGTGGTAAATCTCCCAGAACTACACAGTCTCCCATCAGTACTTATCTGAAGTCATTCCATTTAGTCTGAGTTACTTATTTTTTTTATGCTTAATTAAGATCTTCATAAACCATAGAAATGGCATGCAGAATTGGGGGGGGATATTACTTTCGAGTTAGGAAAATTACAAAAACAGATATTGTACAAAAGATCACATCTTCAGTAGGCGGCTCTCAACTGTTTATATTTCTATGAAACGATTCTGTGCTACACCCACGCTTGTGCTATTATATTAAGGGGAGAGAGAGGAATCAAATTCTTGAAGTCAAATTTAATAAACCAGGAAATCTGATCCAAATACCACATAATAAATTAGTTAGAAGCCACTAGGAAAAGAGCCAACATCCCCATCTCCCTTAGTAATACATTTTAGTTTACCAAGGCAATGATAGCAAAATCAGCTACAATTATGTTAAATATTTATTGCTAAATCCATTAATATTTTCCCTAAAGCACTATGGTAAACTTTCATAGGGGAGTGAAGCACGCTGAAAATATAGCTTAGAGCGCCCTCTACCATTCACTGTGAAAAGGTTTTTTTTTTTTTTGCCCCTATATATTTCATCTCGAAGGCTTTTTAATCATATGTTTAGACATTTTGCATGTGCCAGAAACTAGTTCAAATAAGCAGTCTTAAATCCCCGCTAAATTAGTGAGCACTGAATGCCAATCAATCTGGGCAATTATTTCTAAATGTATTATGGTTACTCACAGGGCCATTTCAAACTGCTCGAGCCATTTCTTCTTCAAATCTTTGGTTTTGCAGTACAGCTCTAAGCCGTTTTGTCCTTGTGTGTGGATGAGGTAGAAGGCGTAAGACCACTGTTTAAACGGGAAGAAAAATCAGGTATTAGCTTTTAAGAACAGAGAAATAACCAAGTTGGAAAATGCCCGGAAGACACACATTTCTAATTTTGCAAAGTTCCGGGGAAATGTAATAACAATAATTGTTAACAACATTCCAGAACACTTTTGAGCTTCCTGGAATCTTCATATACTTTTTAATCCCATTGCAAAAATTAAACAGATAAACCAAGGCTGTAGAACGCACCACTGCACCACTTTGAATATTTTAATGTTTCCCCATTTTAAAAGTTCTGGGGGGGGGGGGAAACAACGAATGAAAAAGATAAAATATTTTTCCTTAATTCCCAGTTTCCTACCCAAAGCCTGTAGATAAATAAATCTAGTAAAAAAAAAAGGGCTTAGAGAAATGTTAAGTAGTTCATGTAGTTAGGAATCTTAAGATTTTAGAGCAGAACACAAGGATCCCGGCATATTCTATATTTTTACCTTTTTATTTTCCTTGTCGGTGGTGGGGTTATTGTTTATTTTGTACTCCTGGAGATCAATTATATCCTTCATTTCATAATTATCACCTCTCCGTTTGCATACTATTATGGCCAAGTCAAATAAAAAAATATGCCTAGGGGAGAAACAAAAGCGTAAGAAGTTGTAAAAATTTAAATTTGTAGCTAAAAATGCTATCTGAGAAATATTTGAGTAGAGTTTATTAAATTTTTAATAAACATTATGTCAAATCTGATTGTTAAACTGAATTTTTCTCTCAAATTCAATACACATTTTGAACTGCAATTTTAGATTTTTACTGCACAGTTCTATGCAGCATACTTATAAATTTCATTCTATTCTACTACACTTAAATCCCTACCAAGAGATGGATAATTGGACTGGACACTATTTTCATTTAATTTCACTTTAATTAATTTGATTTAGATGCCGCACAACTCCAAACAACTCCTAAAAGGTAAAATAAAAAAGACAAAAGACAACAATTGAAAACAAAGCCAACCAACCAAATAAATAAAAAAAAGCACATAAAGGTTGACTCAGCCTTCCATCTTTCCGAGATCGGTAAAATGAGGACCCAGATTATTGGAGGTGGTATGCCGACTCTGTAAAAACCGCTTAGAGATAGCTGTAAAGCACTGTGAAGCGGTGTATAAGTCTAAGTGCTATTGCTAGTGCTATAAATTGAAAGCACACCAACACTATCAGTTTATATTGGCTGGGTACATATCATGGGGATCAGTCAGTTCCCCAAATGACCAGGTTTTATGCCATGTAGGGTTTTATAAGTCACGATCTTGAATATGGAAGCAGAAGGGTAATCACTGCACCTCAGAGTAGATTCGGACCTTGTGTTTATATAGTGACTCCAGGCTGATTCTTCATGAGCCCTCCTCCCAAGCAGGATGATTGCTCTCCAACAAAAAGGTCTCCGGATTCAGGAGACCAGCTCATTCCACTGCAACGAAGCTGTGGAAAGGCCTTCTTGGCCAAAGCTGCCATATGCTTATTGAGCAGGAGCTCTGACTCCCGGATACGCCCCCAGATTGCTTTCCACCCTTCAGTGGGGAAGTGAAATCCCACCCAAGATCAATGTTGGAATGTTTGTAAAGTTCTAGTGCAGACATGTCAAACACAAGGCTCGGGGGCGGATGCGGCCCGTGAAGTGGTTTCATGTGGCCCGTGAAGCCATCCTGGAAACAGTGAGGGAACAGCCCCCGCTGCCTTGGCCCTGGCCCAGGCCGGCCGGGAGCCAATGTACAATTTTGTGGTAGCCATCTTGGCACTTGCCCCGGTAGACCATGCCTTGGCACTTGCCCCAGTCCCACCCCCTTCTGCCAGAGACCCTCAGATCTGTCCCACTCCTGCCCAGGCCCCCATAGGCACCCTTGACGCGAATGATGTAGAACTGGCCACGCCCACCCAGTAGCCACACCCACTCCATCCACGCCCACCCAGTAGGCTGCATCCACTCTGGCCACACCCACCCGGGCCCCCCAGGGCAACCGCAATGCTGATGCGGCCCTCAGTGAAATTGAGTTTGACACCCCTGTTCTAGTGGTCCCAACAACTACACCTATATCCACGCCTACACACTCTCCAAGCAGTTTGATAGTCTTTGACAGTTTTAATATTTGAAATACCACCCATGCCACTGAAGCACCCCTCCCGCCAGGCAGCAACCACCCCTAGTCCCATCACGTTCACACCGTACCTCTCCAGCCACCTCCACACCCCCTCGCTCTCTATCATCCTGCTTGCAAGCTGCCTGGGATTTGCAACTTCTTGCCATTTTCCCCACAATAGACTTTGGCTGCTGAAAGTCAGCAGATAGTTGCAAGGAAGTGCTCACTTAACAATCTACAATCATTGTTTAGTGATGACAATGGGAATTGCAGGGGTTGTTGATGCTAAGCAAGTTGTCGGGCTTTATGACTGCATTGCTCAGAGGTGGAAATTCCAGCCGCAACTGCCATCATAACTCAAGGACTACCCATATATAAGGTGAGAATATGTCTTTGCTACCTCTTTTCTTGTTTTTTATCATTTTTATTTTTAAGGGTTGTTGAATTTAATTTTATTATCGTTATGTATCTCGATACTTTGCTTATATTTTAAACTCTTTTTTTTAAAAAGCACTTAATCTTGAATGATCAATAGACACTGACATACCATAGTGTTGTCTTTATCATTACCCAATCTACCTACCAGTGCAAATTCCAAAATTATTTTTCTTAACTGCAAAGAAATATAGTGATAGGGCATTTACTTCCTTCTGATGGTGAGATCGTTGGCATTACACTTGTGCAACTAGCAAACAGTAGGTATTGTACCATTTCAGAAGTATTGATCTAGGACAGGGGTCCTCAAACTTGGCCACTTTATGACTTGTGGACTTCAACTGGCTGGGGAATTCTTGGAGTTGAAGTCCACAAGTCTTAAAGTGGCCAAGTTTGAGGACCCCTGATCTAGGATCGTTGCAAAATAATACATTAAAAACAAAATGAAGCTTTTCTCACCTATCTTGTCTTGCTCGCTTGTCCAGGGTTGTTATCTTTACTTCACCATCACCCTGTGGTCTTCCATAGAGTAAAAGGGATTGATTCTGGGGGGGGAGGAAAATGTACATTAATTGCTTCAAAGATATCCAATAATTTATTGGAGGAAGATGCTGCATTCAACATTCTGAAAAAGTGGTTGGCTATAAGGCAGATGGCAGATAAAAATGCAAAATTGGCAGCACGGCCCACAGCATCTCTGACCTACTCTACAAGGGTTATGCAAAACATTTCAATCGCAAAGCATTTACTTCAAGTTGTTCCAGTTCAATATTAGCATAAACATTTTAGTTCTCCATCTGTTTAGAACATGGCAATCGGATCTTTGTGGTGAGTGTTGCAATAAGCTTTTTCTTAATTTTTCTAGTGGGGGAGGGGAATGATCCTGAACTTATTCCTATTGGCTTACACAATGTGGGGTGACCTGGATGGGTGGCAATAGAATATTGAGAAACAGGCACATAATTCATAGATCCAAAATGCTGCTCTGTTGCTGAAGAAGACTATGACCAGGGAGTCTGCTGTAGCCAATGCCTGTAACTCAGGGATGTCAAACTCACAATGTCACGTGACGTATCGTGATATTTTTTCCATAAGGTGAGAATATGGGGTGGGTGTAGTTTTGCCATGATGCATCCGGCCCACGGGCCGGCAGTTTGACGCCCCTGCTGTAACTCTAATGCTTTAATGCAGGCATGTCAAACTTGCGACATCATGTGACATCGTGCAACTTTTTTCCCATTGCTGGCAATGGGATGGGTGTGGTTTCTGGCCTGCAGGCCGGCAGTTTGACATGCCTGCTCTAATGCATCTTCCGCTGGAGATCAGGAAGTTGAGGAAAGCTGCAAGCTCTCCTATTTTAATAGGATTTTTTTTCTTGTTGTGTCTTGGTTTTAGCTCTTCAGCCTTAATCTGGCGCAATGGGCACTAGTTACAAGGGACAGAAAAGAAAAAAATCCTCCTTCTTTGCCATTTCATTTCCCCTCATTTTATGTACTTATTTTAAAATATTTAAAGCCTGCACTCTCTCCGGCCTATAAAAGCAACAGAACACAATAAAAATCAAGTAAAATAACAAATGGAGTAAATATAGTTGCCCTGATAAAGAGGCACTTAAGGGCAAAAGACAGATTTTGGCTGTTGATGCTGAGACTGTCATGTAGTTGTATAAAAAAAGGGCAAGTCTCCAAAAGCACCAGCTTTGCCTCCAGGAAGAGAACAATTAAAGCCAAGGGGACACAACAGAGAAGGCCTGAGCCAGGGGTGTTAAACTGCCGGCCCGCAGGCCGGTTTCATCATACTGAAGCCGTGCCCACCCCATTGCCAGCAATGGCAAAATCAGCCCGATACGTTGCACGACATCACATGACGTTGCGAGTTTGACACCCCTGGCCTAGGCATATAGTATCTCATTCAGCTATGGTACTCTGTACTTAATATATTTTAACATGTAGTGCAGTGGTTCTCAACCTGTGGGTCGGGACCCCATTTGGGGTCGATCGACCATTTCACGGGGGTCGCCAAGCAAGGCTGTCCGCCATTTTTTTTGTCCTCCATTTTTTTTGTCCGCCATTTTTTTCCCTTTTCCAGCGGGTGCCTTGGGCTGGGCCAGCTGGTGGTCAGCCTGCTTCATCTCTGCTGCTTGCCAGCTACGCCTCAGCCGGCGCAGGGGGTGGAATCATGCATGCGTGGCGCTCCTGGGCAGGGAAAGTCCTCGACTTACGACCGGTTGGGTAGTCCTCGACTTACGACTGGTTTAGTCCTCGACTTACGACCGGTTTAGTCCTCGACTTATGACCGGTTGGGGTCGCGGCATTAAAAAGGTTGAGAACCACTGATGTAGTGTATCCTGAAAGAAATCCTCCCTCAACAATCACACCTAGTATACAGAGCCAGTGACATTCCTCTAGGACTTGTTAGTTAACAAGCCAGGCTACCACTTTTGTGCATCAGCTACAACTTCTGAAAATATCTCCAAAGGCAGGGGTGTCAAACTCTCCAGGCCGGCCGGATGCGTCACACGTAGGCTATACCCACCCCGGCTGTGCAAAGGAAAAAAATGTCATGATATGTTACGATATGTCATGTGGCACAATCGAGTTTGACACCCACGTCCTAGGCTAGGGCAATATATCTTAACCTTGGCAGTGTAAAGAATTCTCGGAGTTGAATACCTCTTCAAATTGCCAAGGTTGAGAAACACTGTTCCGGGGCTTCTGTAGGCCCTCTTGACTTAAGAATAGACCTAGCCCAGGCAGAAAAAGAGTAATTTTTATAGCCATAAGTCATAGATGCAACCTGATTGATCAAATTACTTTCTTTTTTAACCGATTCATTGCTAAGTTGGAATTTGCGTAGGAAATCAGTTTGTATAACTTTCCTTCATTAACAAATGTTGCTATTGCTCTTGAGGGCGAACATGTGAAAACTGCAAGTACAATGTTGGCTTGGATAGCTTTGTTGAGCTAGGTACTCTTAAGCATACTTCTATGCCTTGTTGATATTCCAGAAAGCCTTTTTTTCCCCCCCAAGACTGACATTACTCAAGATTGCTTGGTGAGCTTTTGCTTCCCTTTCTTTCTTGTTTTAAAAAGGTTCTACTTAACTTTTCCTAACTCATCTCTGCCTGCCTGCCTGCCTGCCTGCTTATTGGCCCGATCAGAGCTTTTCAGAATGCATTTAAATGCCATGAAGTCAGCTGAAGCAGTACTACATTCTTACAATTACCAGCAGGCTCTTGTAATATTCATGTAAGAGTTCTTAGAAGCAACAGGTGGCAGCATTTAAAAATATTTTTACAAGTGATTTAAGAACAAAACAAGCCTGGTAGGAATGGGGACCCAGTCAGTAAATTAAATTGTCTCTGCTGCTTTTAGCTGGCTGACGTCTGATGACTACTAAAACCTGGCCAAGGAAAATTGAAGAGAAAGTTTATCTCATTCAGAGTAATGTGTTTGCTAAACATTCCCGAGAGCTTATTTGAAGAAATGGAAAAGACTACTGCTTTTTCTGCTGAGAACCCCAGACAGTTTTTCATGTAACTAATTCTGTGATATATTAACTATCAACTATTAAGCAACAGATTCTCACCCTCAAAACCATGTTTTCCTAAAAAAAAAAAAGCTTGGTTTTTTTTTAATCCTATGACAGCATTTTGAAATATTGCCAAACTTTCTAAGGCAGGCATGTCAAACTGCCAGCTCACCCCATAGCCGGCAATGGGGAAAAAGTCGCGATAGTCACGTGACGTCGCGAGTTTGACATGCCTGTTCTAAGGGATGTCTAGTAGCAGCTAGAATGGACAGTCATCCCATCTTTCTTTGCGGCTCCAGGGGATAAAATATGACAGCAAAGAGCTTGTTTCGCATTCCCAATGCTTCCCAATAGTTACAACCCTCAACCCATTTCAGGTTTTGTCTTGTCAAATGCAACAGACCCAAAATGTTTCATGGCACTGTTTTATTCTGAGCTGGAAGCAAAATACATTTCCCATTACATGCACATTCTTACCTCTCTACCCCTTTACCCCCATCCCAAACAGAAATAGCATGTACGTGTATGAAGGGGTTACATCCTCTACGCTCAGTTTCTCATCCCACCACTTCTGCCCAACATTGCCTCACATTTTCCTTTTGCCCAAAATTCCCTCACATTTCTTCATGTAAGAAAAATTAGTAGAGTTGTCAGAGATCTAACTTCCTTCAGTCTGGGACAAAAAAAGAACTATAGGAAACAAGTCATTCTTTATCTTCCTGATGCTCTCCAAGGTTTTGTGCTACAGAACTCAAAAACCAACTGAAGAATAATCTGACCTTAGTTTTTATGTCAGAGACCAGTCTCTGTCTTAAGGAGCTGTGCCTTGAAGGAGTTCTATACTATATGGCTTAGTAACTGCCATAAAAATGCTGTTGTTTGAAATAAAGATTAAATATTACTGAAGTATAGTGGTTGATACTAATAATTAAAGCAGAGCAAAATAAATAAGGTCAGGTTTGTGGGATAAGACCAGACTTTACATATGCCAGTTCAGTCAGCAGCAGAGATAGAAGCAAATAGTCTCAACATAGGTTTCAACTGCTATGATTTTCTTAATCTTTTCATCGAACCATTCTACAAAACATTCTTTCAAGATGAACTCTGGACAATAGTCAGACAAACATACTGGGCCTTGGTTTGTGAATTAAGTGAGAATTGGAGAGTTCTAAATCATACTAAGCCAAAACCAAGAACATCACATGAACGCACACCCTGACGTTTGCAAATTCAAACACTCCTCTAATATTTTAAATCCATTACGGATTCTTTTCTTTTCTTTTTCGAGTCAAAGCTTTGTGCCTCAGACTTCCTGTTTCTATTCCATCTCTCTTGATTAGCCCTCTTCTGATTCTCAATATCCCAGTTTTCTGGAATCTGTGTTCAAACCTTTTTCGGAATATATAGGTTTAGTCTCTTACCTGCAGTTGACTCTACCTTTGGACAAGCTTGCCTGTGCTCCACCCTGACTTTAATTTTAAGCCTGCCAGAATTTTCACTTTCAGCTTTCCTGCTTATAAGTCTATCAGTAACAAGTATACAAAAGGGGGAAAATCCCTAAAAAATAAAAAAAGCAGCATCTTATAAAATCCTACCAAATTTTCTATTGATGATTGAAATTGCTTAATTTCACGGAGGGTTTCATTATCTCGTTTCACTTCATTTACATATTGTGCCAAGTCCTAAAACCACAAAAAAGAAAAACAAATTTGGTATGTAACAATGATTGATTAAATATTTACAGTTGATTCAGGGCTGAAAGCCAGTCATGTCCAATTTTTTTTTTTTAAAAGCATTTATTTTTATATGAATATTTTCCTATTATACAAATTTTTGCATAGAGTATATGAGCCAAATACAACATTACATTTTTAAAAAAGCAATCAAAAGATAATCAAGGAGAGAAGCAACCTAGAACTAAGGAGAAACCTCCTGACAGTTAGAACAATTAACCAGTGGAACAACCTGCCTCCAGAAGTAGTGAATGCTCCAACACTGGAAGTTTTTAAGAAGAGACTGGACAGCCATTTGTCTGAAATGGTATAGGGTTTCCTGCCTGAGCAGGGGGTTGGATTAGATGACCTCCAAGGTCCCTTCCAACTTTATTATTATTATTATTATAAATGTATTCTAATTTTCAATTTAATTTAGGGAGTGTGACTTAGGTCAGATTGCTGGACTAATTCTTCCCTGTCCCTCTACTGTAATTGAAGCAACTATACATTAAATGACAGCATGGGCATATTGGAAAAACTATGCTACGCACAGTAACCTTATTATCATCTTCACATCCTTGGGAAGGACAAACGGGGTCATACCTGCTGGCCCAAGTCTTGAAATCTTTTAACACCATTGTAAAAGATTCAGTTTCTGTTCAATGTTCACAAAGCCTATGCTCATTTTGCACTGAAAAGATTACTGATAACATGAAACAGAATGTGTAGTGTACCAAAGTATAGTCCGTATGCATGTGATGTTCAGCAAAGTTGTAGAACCTTTTCTATTCGAAAGCCAGAGTGAAAATAGCTTGACAAATAATCAAATAATAAATTAAACATGGATCCTTGAATTGTGAAAGGAGCTTGTTTGCTTTCATTTATAAGCATTTTACACCAGTGTGCAGCAAGATAGAATCCAAGTTTCAAAATATTTAATTTTCAATTTATTTCTAGAAAAGACTCTTTTCATTTTAATCTAGCTGTACCCGGCCACGCGTTGCTGTGGCTCAGTCTGGTTAAATGGAAAAGAAAGAAAAGAGAAAGCGCACGTTTGTAATATGTTTAATTTCACAATGCTTGTGGGTATACAATATTTTTTGTTGTTCCATTGTCTGTCTGGTTTGCCGATTCTAGAACATGCAACATATAATTGTCCATGTGAGAAGCAATCCGTGTCTAGATCTAAACCGCACAATTCTAAAGATTGGCCCTGAGCTTTGTTGATGGTGATTGCAAAACACCAATCGAATTGGGAATTGCAATCTCTTAAATTGAAATGACATATCCGTTGGAATCATAGGAATGCGAGGAATGAGGACATCTTCACCTTTGAAAGGTCCTGTCAAGATTGTTGCTTCTACGACGTTGCTCATTAATTTTTTTACTGCAAGCCGCGTTTTTACCTGTCACAGGTGTGACATCTATATAATAGTAGGTATATAAAAACACGCGCGTATTCGAATGCAACGTTGTGTCAAAATTTCAAAGCAATCGGTGAAGAACTTTCGGAGATTTAAGATTTTGAACAAACAAACATTTACATTTTTATTTATATAGATTAGAGAGGATGTACTCAATCATACTTACCTTCATTGCATCAAGGGCCAACTTTAGATTTGCCTTCTCAATTATGTCATTAGTGTGCTTTACCAGCTCCTATATCACAGAATGCCATAATTATTATCAACCAATTATAATGGAAAGAAAGTCAGAAAATTATGGACATGCTATAATCAATGTAGCTCAATATAAAGCAGTTATTATATTGCCATTACTCAAAGTTATTCCAAAGGTGTGTTTTTTTTTCTTTCTCAGCTCACCAATAAATCTAGAGATTTTTAAACAGACTTTCAGCCAATGTTATATTTCAGGTTTTATGTTTCGGTTTCAGCTTTTCTGTGTCAGCATAGCAATTATTTCAGTACATTGGTTAAATTTCCTGGAAATGTGTCCATGACCCCTTATTAACGTGATCAAACTGCTTCTAATTCATCTTTTATTTAGATACATATATCCTATTCTCTGTAAAATACATAATCTAAATGCCCAACCCCAATTAAAAAAAATGTAGAAGTTTTATATTTATGCTAACACTAATCCACACTTAAAGCTCAATAAAGATATGTGGACTGTGATTAGTAAATGAATATGAAATATCTGATAATACTATAAGCTTCCAATGATGTACTGGAATATATTAGTCATATTAACGCTCAAATTTATTGTTTATCTGCTCATGTTTCAGTATCTGCACTTTATTTTCTTCTTTGTGTTACTTATTCTATATATTCTTTCACAATGCATAAGAAAAAAAAGTAGTACCATTTCTGAAAGTTTTACCAACTGGGAAAAATCAGCAGCATAATACTGATTTTTATTCAAATGAGCATTATGCTCCATTATCTTTGTTAAAATCATAACAGAACTTTCTGCAAAGAGTAATATGTCAATTACAAATGCAGTTAAAATACATAAAATACATGGGACATTGATATACTGCATGTAACAAGGCACTACAGAAACAAAATACTGCTTCTTGCATAGATAGAAGCTCTTTTTAAAATGACACTTTATAAGTAGGAGCAATGCAGACAATCTAATGCAATAGTGTAGTTCTCTGCGGCTGTACTAATGAGTCCCCCAGCAAAGCTATCAAATGATATTTAGAAGATTCTCTAGTTCCATTATAGTACTAACTGCACAGGAGCTGTGCACTCTGGGAGTTGTAATGTGAAGTGTTCTCAGTACAAATGGCATTATTATAATCCAGCACAGAAGTAACCTAGGAGTGACTGCTTCCTGTTCAGCCTTGATTACGTACGTACAGTTAAAAAAAAAACACATTTCACCTATTATCTAAGATCAGTATATGGTATTGATTTATACTATTAAAAAAAGACTGGAAGCTATTGTGAAATCAACTGAATTCCAACAGTATTGGGCTGGGTGGAGAATCTTTTTCGACAAATGATCTTTCTCTTTCTGTACACTGTGTAGGCCCTCACATTTACTGTACTATGAGAATCAACAATCTTTCTTAAACTGATTTAAAAATTATACTCTTCTTAGCAGATCCCTAGGGCAACCTTTGCATTACCTACAGGTGGACAGGTGTACAATTTAAGACAACTCTCTGCATGGGTCAGAGCCATTGTGTGTTTGTTATGCACTTGCTGATAAATTATACTGATACATATCCTGGCTGACAAAAAAACAACAATATAATAGTAATGACCTGCTCACTGCATTGTATTACTGTATATCAGGCTTCTTCAACCTTATAGATGTTGCATTACAATTCCCACCTGGAATGCACCAGAATGGGTAAGACCATATCAAACAATACAATGGCTGAACTAGACAGCAGCAAGCTAGCATCAATTCTGAGTGGTAGCTTTGCTTTAAGTGGGATAACTGTTGTGTGGTGAGAATCATGAGTTCCTTTCCAAAGAAAGTGAGTGCTATGCTTCTAAAATAACACTGTCCCCCCCAAAAAGTAGCTTAAAATTGACAGGATGTTTTAAAATAAAGGACCCAAAGACTAGGTTAGGGATAGATACTTGTGAAGAAAAATCTATCTCTGTGGTTGCTAAGAGTTGATACCAACTTGATGGCATATAATCAATAATCAATCAGTCTGACACTCATATAGCTGACCTTCTTAAATGTGTACTCTCAGTAGTCCAAATTCACAGTACAAACAGCAAGTGGTCTAAATAGTTGCACAGAACCAGCAAGATTCTCAATTCTCAATCATCAGAAAAATTAAATACCTGAAGTAGCAGATGATATTTCAGAACTCGTTGCATTGGAACCACAAGGAGATCCCGCAGAGTAAATTTCCCATTATTAGCTCTTTTGGAACATTCCTAATTAAAGAATAACCAAAAACTGAATAAATAAAATGTCTCGAGGTGATTCTGGAACATAATCAAAATGGCAATGTTATTTTTCATAAGATAGGAGACACGTGTCTCAAACTGCACCAACTATTCAATTATATTGAATTTTGATTAAGTTTGAATACTGGGGTCCTCAGATTAAGTCTTCTTCCTCACCCAGCCCATATTTTGTAATTCAAAGATCAAGCACAGTTCAAAAAAGACTGAGCAGGTCTGGCTTAGAAGAAATCATTGAGTTATGATCTGGTCGGGATTACCAGAAGCAAGTGTGGATGATTAAAATTTTAATTTCAGTCTCTCCCCTTCAAATCTTCCATCCCATTTATAGGGATTTAAGACAAAAAAATAATAATTTCCACATCTAATTGTAATTTATAAATGCAAAGATTTC